AAAAGCTCACTTGATTTTGGATTTTCAGTATGAATACAAACTGTGAAAGCATGGCCTATCGATCCTTTAGACTTTTAAAGGTTTTAAGCTAGAGGTGTCAGAAAAGTTACCACAGGGATAACTGGCTTGTGGCAGCCAAGAGTCCAAATCGACGTTGCTTTTTGATCCTTCGATGTCGGCTCTTCCTATCATTGCGAAGCAGAATTCGCCAAGTGTTGGATTGTTCACCCACTAATAGGGAACGTGAGCTGGGTTTAGACCGTCGTGAGACAGGTTAGTTTTACCCTACTGATGAGTTTGAGAAACGTTGCGATAGTAATACAACTTAGTACGAGAGGAACAGTTGTATCAGATCATTGGTACTTGGCGTTGCCTGAGCAGGCAGTGCGCCGAAGCTATCATCTGTAGGATAATGACTGAACGCCTCTAAGTCAGAATCCATGCTAAAAAGCAATGTTTAAAAAACAAAAAAAATATTATTTTTTCTTGTTTTTCCCACACATGGAAAATGGCGGGGGCCAAAATACGGGATTGGACTTTGTGGGGAGGGAAGCGTTTTCTTCTCCCCAAAGTTATTCCGGAGAGCCCGGCGGGGGGGGGGGGGGGTGGTACGCGAAGTGCAAAGGAAAGAAATAAGCGGTCTATGTACCCCCCCCATGTTCTAACACTAACGTGCAAAGCGTATGTGAGGGGAGTAAAATCATTTGTAGACGACTTAAATGAACCAGGTATTGTACGCTGTGGAGTGGCCTTGTTGCCACGACCAGCTGAGATTAAGCCTGCGATTCACCGATTCATATCCCATTTTCTTTTTTTTTTTTTTACTATATCCGAAAAAAGACAAGATTTTTCGGGATATTGGAGAGCAAAGCGTGTTTTTGACCTGTTTAGCCGGGCCGGATTGGTGCTCATTCCGATGTTTTTGGCGCTTGGGTCCAATTAGCAATGATAAAAAGGTGAGGGAAAATTAAAAAAAAAAAAAAAAAAAAAAATAAGAAGCGTGGGGGCATAGCAAGAGGAGTCACTCTTTACCAACTAGTCTTTTTTTTTTTTCCAAAGGGGGCAGAAAAAAAATCTTACACGTTTTTCCTGGAGTGTAAAGAACCCTTGCTTGTGTGGAAGGAATGGTGGGTCGCACAGAGACTCCCCGTACTATGCCCATAGTAGAAAGAGCTTAAACGGGATGCGCAATAGAGGGGTTCCCTATGGGAAACCAGCGAGCCAGGGGTGCACGCTTCCAGTTCTAAGTGGGCGGGGGAAGTGAGGCGGAGAGAGCGGCCTTTGTCATGACGACGTTGAGGTGGGGGTTCTCGTTTGGCAGTGTGGGAAACAAAGCAAAGTATGGGGGAGGGGCCACGAACGAGACCAGATAATGTGATTGTCAAAAATGGGAAGGGGGCGGCTTTTATTGTAAAGAGCTTGTTCATTTGTTAAGCCGTGGGCGATCCCTGTCGAAAAGAAAAGCTGGCCCTAAAGATTATTAAGCCGAGAGCCTGAAGTCTGTCCGTTTTTCTTTCTCCTTGGGACAGACACCCAAGGGGCGGCCCGCCCTGCGGCCTTTGGGGCCTAATAACCACGTGGGCGAGACAGGGGGGCGGCAGGGGCGGTACCAGGAAGAGGAGGAGGAGGTCAGAGAGATTGACCTTCCAATTCACCAAGTCCGACGAGGCTGCATTTTTTTTTTTGTTTTTGTTTTTGTTTTTGTTTACATACCCATCCATACACCTTTAAGTATAGCCTTTAGCGGGCGCGTCGACTCCCCAGCCTGCATAATCGAGCGGGCTACTTCGGGGGGCCCGAGGTCGAGTCCGCGCGCACACCACTTTTCGTACGTCGAGCGCGCCTCCTTTTTTCCCCCCTAAACTAGGTTTTTTTTTTTTTTTTTTTTTTTCCGTTTTGTTAAAATGTACACAACGCGCTGCCGGGCTACCTACTATTTGGTGCGCTTATCGGACATTTATACTGCAACAATCCAACTTATGGATCTAGTTTTACAGCGCCAAACGACTAGTCGTGGTCCCTCAAGTATAACCCAAGTTTAACATTTTGCAAAAAAAAAAAAAATAATAAAAACTTTTTTTTCCCTCCCCACCTACTGCACATACTAACGTGTTTGAGGTAAGTAGCGGTGGCAGAGATTTCTCGCAACTAGTGCATATTTTTTTGTTTTTTTTTTTTTCTTGGTTTCCAGAAAGTAAGCAACTTTGTTAACAAGAAAATATTATTCCAACTACTTTACTGTTTGACAGCATTTTACTTAAGCCATTCCCGGAAAAGTTCGTAAACATGATGTTCATGTTATAAGTTAAGAGAGTTGCTGCTAAGGAGACATTGTAATAATAATAATAATAACACCAACAACAAACAACAACAAAAAAAAAAAAAAAAAAAAAAAAAGTAAATCAAGATGTCGATGTCGACAACCGCCACGGTCACCTTGAAAAAAAAAAAAAAGTAATTCCTCAAGATAATTTTTGTAGCGGGGAGGCCCTTCTTCTCCCCCTACCCACCAAACACATTTGGGCCCATATAGAGAGAGAGAGATACAACAAGAGAGTGGCAGTTACCGTAGTAAAAATAAAAATAAAAATAAATGGGTGGTGGCTACTTTTTTTTTTTTTTTTTTTGGCACGCCACATGCACCTGCCCCGTCTCCGACGCCCCCGTCGCATGAGAGCACATGCAAGGAAGGCTGAGAGATTTTCCTAAGGAGAGGCCCCCACGTGAGAAACCTAAGCGTCAAAATGGACCGGGTTTCCAAAAAAGGAAATGGTCGTCGAAGCTCGAATTTTGGCCAAAAGTCTTGACAGAATAAGTCTAGAGTCTTCTAAGCGGCACCATTGTGTCGAGCGCATTTTTTCGAGCAAGCAAGGTATGAACCAGACAGTTGTAGTTCATTCCTTTCCTAGGCTACTCATAATTTTTCAAATTTCAGTCACCTCGACCACAACAGGGGTACCTACCAGCGTATTTCATACTGTCAGTCCATTTTCTGGGCTGGCCGTGCATCGAGTTATCCCATACCCAGTCTATAAACCTTGTACATGGGTATAACAGCCTCTGACCTCTCTAATGACGTACTGTTGAAGTTTGGATTTGAATTTTAAGTGTACTTTTTTGAGGAAAGATGCCCCCTTTTAAAATTTTTTTTCTTTTAGTTGGAATGGCTAGTATATATACCTTCTGAAACGGCCCATTGTCTTACCACTTTTAATCAAATAACGTCTCTTTTTTTTTTTTTTTTTTGGGATTTTTATTTCCCTTGAGCCCTTGGGTTAAATTACGTCGTATTCAATTCATATTGTTGGGTATATAGAGGTTAGTAGAGTACAAAGAACGACTGGAAAAACCCACTTTATCTACCCTTAGCATTGACAGGCCAAAGGAAATACGTATTGCCATTGGCTGTTTTTTATTACTAATTTTTTTTTCTTCTTCAACTGCTCTTCCTTCTCTTCGCCTCTTCCGCGCTCTACGACCTTGACTTTGTATAGATAGATATATATATATATATATATCTATATATTTACTTTTTTTTTTTTTTTTTTTTTTTTCGTGTGTACTTTTTCTATACTATATATATATGTATACATATACTATTTTTTACTTTCTTCGTAAGTTTTAATTCTGCATCTTTTTTTTTTTTTTTTTATTATTCCTTTATTTGATTAGACTTTTTTTAAACTTTGGCCTTAGTTTTTTATAACTGCTTTACTTGCTACTATTATTGACTTTATCAACAAGTTAATCACCCGATTTTAATTTTTTTTATTTTTATTGCCACTATTACTGTTAGAACTTTTTCATACTAATTGTATTTTGTCACCATTTCTTAATTTTTTTTTTTTTGAATGTTGTTTAAAATGCCTCCATACTCCTTGTGTTACCAATTATATTTCTGTTCTATAGATCTCTGCGTGTTTATTATTACAATTTTTTAGAGTGGTATATTATATATTCTTTGGTTCCTTTACCTTTCTGCAACATGGTCGTATAATTTTTTTTTTTTTTTCTTTTTTCTTTTTTAATAACGCCACGGTTACTACTTGCTTGTAATAAAAATATTTTAACTGCTCAATCTTTAAGAAATTGATTTATTTTATATAAGAGAGCATCCTTTTTTTGTTAGAAAGTATAGTTTTTTATTTCTTTATTTTTTATTTTATATTTAATTTTTTTTAAAGTGACATATTAAGGTTGGAATATCTTTTTTAAAAGACAAGAAGATCAGTGATAAAGACTGTTTATATTTTCTATATAAGACTTACTACGTTAGTGTGTGCTTATGCCCTGGGCCTACAGAGAATCCCGCAGCCTGTAGCTTCACTATCGATTTCCTTTCCTTTACCTTTTTTTTTTTTTTTTCCTGAAGGGTGCTGTAATTTTGTTATTTTTCACCCAGGGACAACGTTGCAGCAAACGTGCCGTGAATTAGAAGGCTAATATGGGATAATTAAGCTTCTAATATTCTTTTTTTTTCCAGTTAGTTGAATCCTTTCGATTTATGGTTTTTTTTTTTACTATTTCAATATCATATTTTTTTTATTGATCTCTAGCTTTTAACGTTTTTTCAGGTCACTGTTTAACCTCATATTTTTATTATAACTTATATATTTCCTCTTATAATTGACTTCGGTTGTTTTTTTTTTATTTATTATTATTTTGCTCGCTTAAATACTTAGTCATAACTTTTTTTTTCTCATCTGTTTTATTTTTATTTTTTACTCTTTTATCAATTTTTTCTCATTTATTTTTATAAGTCTTCTTTTTTTGGATAAGATAATTTTCTATTCTTTACCTCTTGCTGAAGTGTATTAATTGTCAGGTTATCATTATTTAGAAATAGTTGTGTACTTTGTAGGTAGATCCCTAACACGATTTGTATTGTTCCGGTTTTTCCTTTCTATATGAGCCAGTAGTACAACCTGTGTTGTTTTTGGGTTATTTTAATATGCTTTTAAAAAATTTTAAGGCAATATGCTTTATTTGTAACTAATATTCTTCAGTTTCACATGTTATATGCAGTACATAATTCAAAAAGGACCTGTGTGCCTTCGCTGCTAACCTAAAAGAAACATCTTACTTTCAAGCAGCTAAATTAAAATAGTAGAAAACCTTCCAGCGAAGTTCGGTAAGTAAATGTATTAAGAGAGAAACAAAGCGTAGCCACTCACTCGGTTTTATTGCATACCTTTTATTACTATCTTCGCACTCTGGGCACACTTCCTGGCTATTCGCTACTTAGAAGGTTATTAAATATAGTAGAAATTGGTAAACTGTTATGTCCTTAAATATAACAACTAAACTTTTGAAAAGCGCTGGATATTTTCTTAGTAATATGTTTTGTGTTAAAAGTCTTAAGCTATGCTAACAAAATAGAAGTACACATACGATTAAAAGTTACCGTAACCACTTTCCCTTATAAGCCTTATACTTAATAAAAAGTCGGCCAGCGGACGTTTTTCAAAATTACAAGTTCGCTTTAGAAAAGTGTTCATCTCCAGTTGTAGAAGTCCACTCGAGAAGATAGTCGAGGAAGTTAATAAGTTGAAGAGCTTATTGACTTCAACTGAGCCGAGCTGGATAAAAAAGTTTCTTGAACCAAAGCTGCACACTCCCAGAAGTTTAATGCCAGTAACGGCACCCTCCGGCCTCTGATTTTGGTAATAACGTATTTGTTTCTCGGTAGCAAAGTGGATCAAACAGTTTTCTTTCGTTTGATCGCTGGAAACCAAAAAGTCGGGGATTAGAAGTATTTTGTTCTGTTGGTATATCACATCACAGACGTTAAGTCTTCCTGGAAACGAATAGTGGGAGGTGATTGTAGCCAAACAGTCTTCAGTGCTGGCGGAATGCTCGCTTGCACTTTCAGCGGTTTTTTTACTCCCCGATTCGAAGTAATCCAACAGCACGTCAACAGTTCGCGAGGTAGATGGCGAAACAGCCCGAAGACACAGATAAGCCAACGAGGAGGGCATTAACCGAGGGGGGGGATAGTGGTAGGCAACGGGGCCCCCGTGCGTGCACTGAAGGAAGATCATGACTCCGTAGAAAAGAGTGTCGAGCGCGAAGGCACTTCCCTGTGACCTCTGCACAACTTGCATCTTTTCTTTTAGAGCGCTTAATGCCGGTTGATAAGTGGCCTTGATTGTTGTGGTGCACACGGTGAACCCGTTGGCTTCGCAGACGGGAATCTTATGAAGTCATATAAGGGCTCCTTGCATTTCACAAGTAGAGCTTTACTTTAGTGTACGGTTCAACACACTTGTACACGAGATTCTCAAACAACAGAAAGGCGCCCTCCTTGCACACACGGTGATGATTTATCCCTGCAAGTCCGCCATAATAGCGGACGAGCATCAGGCCCAAGCCGTCACCGGTAACAAAAACGTCCTGGTGGAAATCCCGTCCTGCTAAGAACACGAGTTCAGCTGAGAAGAGAGACTTCCCTACCGGCTAGTACGTCTTTTGGAAAGCCCACAAGGGCGCAGCACTTTGATTACACAGCAAAGCACGTCCACCTCCACGTCCCTCTTCATAGAAAGCAACTGAAAGTGCGTAGCTAGAGTTCGAGGTGGTGCCCACTTATTGACCCAGGACGGATCCGGTGGCGGCAGCACTTACCAAAGGGGGTGGTTATAAAACGGCTTCCGCGGTACAAAGACGGACTTACATCCATAGAGGGTCTTGTATGTCGTGTTTAAACAGAGAGCGCCCGGAGGAGAGCTCGTCCTTCGGGGCAGAAGCCCACACAAGCGCACTCTTGCGCCTTCTTTCAGTGCCTCCTAAGCAAAGAGTGCGATGTTCCTAGCAATAAGCTAAAAGTGTGCGGTCTCCAAACCCGAAGTTCCATGGACGGCGCATATATCCAGATATAAGCAGTGCCAGTTGGTGCGGAGGTAGTGCTACAGTCAACCACCTTGATCCTTATAAAAAACGTCTTCGCAGTTTTTCCCTCCTACGAAAAAAGAAACAGCGGGGAGGGCCGAAGTGAACAAGGCACGTAAGAGCGGACCTGCCAAAAGCCCGACGACTGTCGTTGGCTTGCCCGTTCTGGGATAACGGGGGGCTTGAGTGCGGAAAAGGTATAGATTAGATTTAGTACGTTCTCCAATAAGTGGTGGATGGCTTGCAACGCGGGAAGGGGTAACGTAGAGAAGCGGATATATTCGTTGAATGACAGCAATAACGCAGCCTTCCAACGGAGAATACAGATAAGAAGGAGCGGCCGCACGGATAAGGCGGAGGAAAGCACCTATCCATCCACCCTTCATGGAGAATCCAGCTAGCGGGAGGGGCACAAACAACCCTCGCCTGCAGAAACCCAACTGCATCACGTGGTGGAAAGAGGTTTATCGACGGAAAGCGTGTAGAAAAGAGTGGCTCAGCACCTTGGATAAGCATTTTGCTCGTCTGGTGCAGTTATAGTCTACCATTAGATATGCATCCGTCCGGCTCTCTAATTCCAGTGGCGTACTCGGCTTTAGCAGAAGACAGGGCAACGCACGGAAGAGCATACAACTAAATCACAAGTACCAGGTTACCACCAATTCGGGCACCGGCTAGTCGCAACTTTTGGCCAATATATATAGAGCCCCGGCGCGCCTTCTCGGCCAAGAGAGGGTCAAGACGGGCACTCACGGCATACCAACCATCGCACAGCTCGACGTAATATCGCGTGAGCGCCCCCTTCTACCAAGTGGGGTACCCAACGTTTACCTCGAGCCACAAGGCGTCTGGAGTTTCGAAGATGTCCGAGACAAAGAGAATCATGCAGCGAGCAGCGCTTTGGTCCTTCTCGAGGATGGATCGAACGGCTGAGCGGTTGCAACAGTTGACTTCCCTCTCGTACCTTCAAGAGACAGTACCTACCTAGTCATTACGATAAACGGCTCGCAGGCAACCTATAAAGCAGCTGGCTTAAGATGTTTTGGGGAGTCAGCCAGCGCATTTGGTACCCTCGAGAAAAAAGGCGGTCTTGATTATACAGCTTCGAGACGATCCAATGGTAATGGTTCTTGAGCATAACGAGGATGGAGACGGTGGTAGTAACAAGAAGAAAGAGAAGCAGCCACACCACCTTAACCCACGAGGGCGACACAAACTTCTTGTTTACGCCGGGAAACCGATAAAAGGCTTGACGACATCCGAAGTTGATGTGGATATAATTAGTTATCGTAATAACAAGTTACCGCGTTGAAGTTCGCAGAGGCCGATAGTCCGAGTGGCTATATTAATTTCAATAGCAAAGTTGTCCTTGAAGTAAACCGCGCCCCTCTCCAGTTCGCTTCGAGGAAAAATTTTGAAAACAAAGTCTTGTAAAAGGCTGTTGTAAAGTCTATTTAAAGGCGAAAGAAGCGGATACGCACGCCAGGCAGCGCAGGACGAGGTCCGCCTTAAGGAAACGTTTAGCGCTTCGCGAGAAGGACTCAGTGCCATGAACTTCGATTCGAACACTCGGCGGGGCTGCGTGCCGCTAGGTAAGTGGAAAACACTCGCTTTTGTTGTTGGCATGGTATTGCACGCGTCACTATAACGGCTGCGCTCGGCGTTATTGTTCTATATGTGTTACTACCATTCAACCTCAACGCGGCATCGGCACAGGCGTGACTTTTATAAGGATTATAGTCATTCGGCCCCGCCGTCAAGAAGGGAGTAACAGAGCGGCGTCTGGAGAGGCCAGGAAAGCTGAAGTTTCGTAGAGGTCGTTTAGTAAAAACAAATATCAAAGGGGTGCTGAACTATTATACCGAATTGCTCTACAAGGAAAAACAGAGGGAGAAGTGGTCCGAGCTGAAGAGTTGGGCGACGAAAGAAGAGGGGGTAGATCCTCTTCAACGGGGTGAGCACAGGCTTCGTCAAGACATTTGCTTTTGAATTGCTTGAGTTCTCAATAAACAATAAGAATATTAAGCAAAGTCCAGAAAGCACACATACGGTGCTCAGAGACATCACCTTTATGATAGTTTCCATCCTCAAGTTGCGTAGCGGTTGATATAAGGCGGGATAGTATAAACAATTAAGAAAGATAAACCTTTTGTAGGCCTTTGCATGACTTATTCTCTCTGTAATCAGGGAAGTGCGCCCTCTCTGCTGAAGAAAAAGAGTTAAGAAAGCTAAATATATTGTGCAGCTAAGGAAAACCCAGAAGGCTGCGCGATTGCAGATCGCATTGGTCCCGCAGCTTAGTAGCTACGCTTAAACTATTGGCGTTGACAGTGATGCGCTTTCCGGCCGCCGATGTAAATCCGATGCTTATCTTAGGGTCGGACCCCGAACCTTCGGCGAGGGCAGGTCTGCGGACTTCGTGCCCACAAGGCTGCTCGCTTATAGGCCGTTTAGAAGCTTTTAAGTTACAGGCAACCTGCCTTTTTTGGTCTTCTCGTGCTTCGGTGAGAAAAACTTCGTCAAGAAGCCTTTTTGAGGCCCCTTGTGCTTCCGTAGAAACCTTAATTGCCCTTCCGTGGCCCGTAACAAACCCAGTAACAGTGGTGTTGGGCGTCAAGGGCTCTTCTCCAGTTTAATAGTGAGTTCGCATCTCTCAGAGAAGCAGAAAAGTGTTCTACCCGAAAGAAGCCTTGTTACTGGGCTGGTTTCTACTTGAGTAATGTCGTTCTCACTAGAAAAAAACAAATCGTGGAGATATGCACCGTAGGGGTGACTATTGCTCTCCTGAATAAAACGAATTGAAACTCGTATTTATAGATTATGGAGTTGACAACTATAAAAATTACAATTTCTACTGCGGAATCTGCCAAAGGTGGCCCTTTACTATCGTTGGTTAGCAAGCCGTCATCCCAACGTCCAGCCTTCTGAGAGGCAGTGCGCGATGTTGCGGGAAAAGACTTGACTGGCGTGACAGCCTCGCAAGTTTTGAGCACAACTTCAGTGGGAGGCGAGTTATTGGTCAACTGGTCAACCAGCGAGTCTGGAGGGTGAATCGGCGGAAGGAGCGAACTTGGAAGGCAAAGAGTGTCCGCAATATCATAATATTCGCTTTTATCCTCGCAAAGCCGAGCCTTCCCCAAACAAATGTCACTATCCATCCTTATTAATTCTGCATTGCAATCTCTACTCTCTTCTTTCATCACGCGAGTTGATAAAGGAGAGGTTGCGCAGGTTTTAGGAAAAAGTGAAGTGCTTTCAGCTAACAACGTGGTGGGCAAATATAAACTGTTTTCGCTAAAGCGACTTAGAGATGGAGACGGTTCTGTAGACGCGGCAGGGAGTTTAATAGTGTTAGAAGAATTCAAAATGCCTTCATTCATAAAAGTCACTACATACTCTCGTGTAAGATACTTTAACTTTTATATTTCTTATGGAAAATACTTCGGTAATTTACTTGAACGTTTGAGCATTTAAACCAAATTTTAGAATTAAATCGAATTTGATCAGAAAGTATAGTTTTCCAGGTGCCCTGAAAGGTACAATAAAGAGTTCTATGTTATCAAAATATCTATAAAAAAAAGATAAACTTTGCTTGGGCAAGGGAAGCCTAAAAACACTTTTTTGTTGCAAGAACCCCCTCCACAGCGGTTGCATAAAATTTCTTAAGTATAGGATGTTGTATAAAGTAAAATAAAGTCGATAATTATTAAGTAACCTGAGGACATGAACTTCTCTAAGCAAGCATTAATAAAGTAAATAATAAAAAAATAAAGTGAATCATAAAAAAAAAGTAAAAAAAGTAAGTCTAATTTTACTACTTCCCGCAAGCTTCCATACAAGTCAGAGGCACACCTTTAAGTAAAGGCAAAGAGAAAAAAAATATCTTAAAGATATGATGACCTAAAAAAAAACCAATGTAGAAGTAATAAAGAAAAGAATATCATGAATCAATCTAGCTGTTGAAGAGTATTGAAACGTTAACTTAGTACTGGCTTGCAAAAACACAGCAGTCCTCACAACTGAAGATACCAATCATGAAACAATGACACCCGGCTACTATGTTAAAACTGCCTTCCCCCGCGGTGTACATTTATCAAAGCCATTGAGGACCAACAATTTATAATATATTATCATCTTTCCTCTTTCTTTAAGCGATTTTAAAATATATGGGAAAGCTCCAAGGTGGGGCTAATGGTTGCCTACATTAAAGTTTCGGCTTGAGCACCGCCGGAACCTGGCCTCCATAAAAATTAAGGTAGCCAAATGGAGCCCTCATCCCGACCATTAGAAAAAGAAAGGTTAGACTCATGAATGTCTTTTTCCGCATTAATGTACAATATGTTTACCCTGAACGGTAACCTAAGTAAGTGGCCTATGGGCTGCTCGAAATAATGAAAAAGATTGCAACAGCTTTTAAGTAAGATATTTATAACTTTTAATTTAAAAACTGTTTTTTATCATTTTCACGTTTAAACTACTACAAAAGCTTTGTTAAATAAAATTTTCTCACTATTTTATTAAAAACGTCATAATTAATTGCTAAGTTTATTGAAAGATATTCATTTATTTAGCGAGTACAATTTTTGTAGGCTATGAACCGAAAAAAAACTAAATAAAATTGTAATTGTTAAGGTGTGCACTTTATACTGCCCTTAACCATAAATTAACTAATATTTGTCAGATATAAATGTTCTGTGGTTTATTTTTGTGAGTTGATGAGCTAGGTAATTCTTCTATATTCAAATTAATAAATTATAAATAATTAGAAGTACTTTTCTCGGTTAAAGTAACAGTTGTTTAGATTTTGCAGTGGTATTGAGAAAATTGGAGATAACTTGTCAAGAATTTTTAAGATTGGTACCAAAGCCTTCCCATTGGATGATATTTTTTTTGTCAACTTTAAAAATAGGTCCTGGCGGATTTCTCCACTTTTAGTTAATGTTGAGTATACTTAAAATTATAACTATATATAAACGAAATTTAAAAAATTATTGTTTAGTTTAATAAGGCATCCTTAATAAGATTAAAACAAATTTTAGGCATACAAGTTGTTCTATTTTACAAGGTGATCAAACCTTTTTAAACTGAAGCTAAGCAGTAAAATTTAGTTTATATATCTACAATGTTTACTAAATCTAACAAGTAATTTTTTTAACCTTTAAATAAAATATTCATACATATAATTAATCAGTTAAAGGTAACTCACCAACTAATTATAAGTCGCTTATCCGCAAACCTAGCCTAGTAAATGTTCTAATAACTTACTGGTTAAAAATTTGTTAGAAAACGCCACTCAATCCAGTTAAAAACTTAAATTACGCCTAGACTTTCTACTGAGCTGTAAATGCTTTGACTCAATTTATGGATAATAGATTATATTTCAAGTTACCGTACTTTAGTAGTGCTTTTGTTTTTAAGTTCCCTGTTGCTGCTGGCGTTGTCTGTTTCTTTTGTGTAGGCCTTTCTACGCGCCGACTTAATAAAAATTACTATGTCTGTTGACTGCTGTTCCGCGTGTGTCCTAGGAGAGTTATATGACTTGAGCGAAGGTTTCCGACATTCCGCTTTTAACACTTTATAAATAACTTGAACTTTGTCTGAAATAATTTAGAAAAAGACAGGGAATGTTACTACCTAGATTATATATCAAGGGTTTGGTGCACGTATCGAAATCACTTTCAAAAAATAATGGGGACTTCAATTTCTTCAGATTCTGGCTGGGGCTGTATGCTCCGATGCGGGCAAATGATTTTTGCAGAAGGTCTTATACGCCATTATCTAGGGCGAGGTACCCACTTCGAGTATTTTCTGTAAATTTTGGCCTGTAACTTAAAATGCTTTATTTAAATTTTAGTTATTATCTTGTATTTATCTAATTAATATAGACTGGAGAAGAGTAGCAAATTACTCGAACCCCTGTTTGAAAAAAGTTTTCACCTTATACATTCTTCTGTGCTTACTACCGATTTAATCTCTATAATTATTTGTGTTTTAAAGATCGCCATGTTGTTTACATAAAAAATGTTTTCGCCCTTGTATTCTTATTGTTTGGTAAATAAAGTAGTAGGTCTCTTATCTTAAAATTTGAAAGTTTCGAAAAAGGTTAGCTTTGAGTTAGTAAAACAGATTTGAGTGCCCTAATGGATTTAAGTGCTCTTAATTCTGTGGCGGTCGCTCTAGATTAAAAATCTATTGTTCAAAATAAGGTTATTGAAAAATAGTGTAATTCTAGCGTTGGGTTTAGCATAAAAAACATAATAAAAATGGTTCTCGTCTTTCTCCAATGTAAAAAAAAGGAAAGACAAAGCTGGGCTCTGCGCGGCCGTCTGAAGGTTAAGGGCGCCACAGTGCCTTAAACTATATGTATCTACTATTGGTGGTATGCTTTCCCTTCTTCCCTAACCGGGCATCGTAAAACCGCGAGAGTTTGAGCCCTTTTTAGCTTTGGCCCTCTAAACATCGTGTGAAGGTGGGCTTGCTTATTATAGGCGTGACTAATAATGGAAAGAGAGATTTCTCGTGTAGAGGAAGCGTGTATGTGGAAGTAAATCTTGCATTTCTTATGAAATGATGATCTGCGCTCGGCATTAAAATGACGCAATAGATCTTGGGGCTCTTTTACGATTCCCCCGAATTTCCTTACTCAATTCACAACATTGCACTTAAAGGTGGCGAACTGGGCACTACTGTAGGAAATTGGGTCGGCCCTTCTTTGGTGTGTCAAGCTATTAGGTTATTATCAAGCACTTATTAATGTTTTTAGTTAGATTAAATAACTGCTTAATCTTTTTGCTATGAAAAGGTTAATTACCGAATCTTTGAGCGGAGTTAACCCTTCTGTTAATGTCCACGTTGCTATGGATGGTTACTTTTGCTATTTACAGGAGTTGTGTGATTTTGAATAATGGTCTTTTAACTCCTTGCACGCCTTAGGGCTTGTGTGTAAAAGGACGCTCAGAAACAAAATAGGAAAACTTCACAGAAGCCGAGTTTATGTGGGGGCTGTTAAAAGCTGCGTGGAGAGTTCCCAGTCGAGAACGTCCTGTTTTTTGCTGCGACTGCTGGGAGGGCGCTCTGGTAAACGTACAGAGTCGATAAGTCTATTGAAAACGACGCTGGAAGCCATAAGCTTTCCGGAAAGAGGTTATCTTTGTAGAAAAGCACCCGAGTTTTCCTGTTGGAGTGTTTATTTTTGTAGGAGTTGGCCTTATTCTGTTTGTGCCGCTGCGACTGGGCGTTTCCCGCATTGAGGATGCCTATATTGAGCAACTGAAAGCATGATATATATACTTGACTAGTTGAAATCTTTGCATACTAATTTCGTTTTTTTTTAAGTCTTAGTGGGTTGAGACTATTTAAAGATTTATTATTTAACTTTATAGTTTAAGCACTTGTATTGATGTCGCTTAACTCTTTGTACTTCAGAAAGTGTTTAAACTTTCGAGCTTTTTGGGGTTTGTCGGGGGAAAGCCGAGATCCGCTCTTTATTTTCTCGGTTTTGAAGGTTGTACTCTGTCGAGCCTGACTGCTTGGCTTTATGAAGTTTTTTTTAATTATAAAGGGAACCTCTGGGTTTGCTTGGATCCTCACAAGACGCAAACATTGGCAGAGATTTCGGAGGCGGGGGAGCTCGACACCTGCGTATCACATACAGAGAAACGTGCTTTACCTACAGTCACGCGGCATTTCTCTTTACATTTAGAGCTACTCGTGTCGTCGTCTCAGCAGATCCAAACTGAGGGGTTTAAGCCCCTCTATCTCTCTTGGTTTTTACTTTTTAGACGCGGCGGAGCTGGAGAGATTTTTTGCAAACATTCAAGAGGTACTTAGCTTCACTGTCTCACTCGGATAGAATACACTTCTTTCTTCAGAGATTAGCTATGCTTTTTTTCTTTCAAAACTTCAGTTTATTTGTGTGTAATTTGTAGTTGTTTAAGATATCCGGCCCCCCTTTATTTTCGCTGGTGGAGGGAGACTCGCGGAGCGGATGCGACTCACTTGAGGTTTTTTCCTAGAAAGGGGCTGTATTCCTTCTCCTTTGTATATTCCCGTAAGGATAATTCAGTGGTAGAGGACTTCATAGTAGTCTAAATAACGTTCGCAGGGATGTTTATTGCTTATATAGATGAGAATAGTTGACACTCACGAGCAGCAAGGGGTCCGGCCTTATGCTGAGCGTATATTACAATGGCCGGGCCGTAAAGGCAAGAAACGAAATAAAGTTTATAATTATGTTTTTTCTAGTAAACAAGAGGTGCCTTATGGATGTTTAAAAGCGCAAAGTATGATAAAAAGGTTTCTCTCCTAAACTGCATAGTTTATGTTCAGTCAATAAACAAGACTGGCACTAGTAAATGCGTGAGTCGAGCAGTCCAGTAGTAGTTGAGGTGTAAAGATGTTGAGCGCAAACACAGTAATAGGCACCGAAAATCTCTTTTGTTATAAAAAACGTTTTATATTAAGAAAAACTACAAAACTTCTCTCTGGCTGGGTTGAATAAAGAAGGAAAGAGCTTTGACATATAAAAAAAGTTTTTAAATGTCTGGAACACATTTTATAAGGTTTTTTTAAGGTGGAACTTTACGCTGCTCTTCGTTTAGCTGTAACTTTCTCATTATGCTTTGCCGCCGCAAGAACTCTGTTCAGGTTATCTGCTTCGGCCCTCTTCACCCACCACTGCTACCAAAAATTCACGGAATTGCCTATGACGATTATTTACTTGTCATGGTCGCCAGTTTTTACTACGACAACTGCGGCTTAATCTTAGCGTCACCGCTGACTGGTGCAAGGCGTTTATTAGGACAATAAAATCGTCGCTGGCTACGCTGTTGACCCTCCATAGTAGGGGAGTACAATATATTGTCCACAACTGAAATACCAAGGGGCCGGTGTGGATTTATAAATGTCGTCGTACCGCAAATTAAATATTTGCTACCTTATATCTTTTATTAAGCAGCATAAGCAAGGTTCCTTGCACAGTAAACTTAGATTTTTCGTATTCGGTCAGTCATGGCATACGCCTTTGCTTCCGGATGCACCAAGCGAAGTGGTGAGCCCACCAATGATTGCACCGTGTTTTGTGCGTCAAAGGCACAAAGAAACTGAGCCTAACGCTCCCACTACGAGTCAACCTGCGCTGTACTACGCTTCAAGCAAAACCTCCGCGACCTTTATGGGTATAATAATGCACGCCAGTGAGGGGATGCAAAATTAATGTTTCATTTAAACGCGAAAGAGCACAAACTATTTTCAAATAAATACGTTACCTGTATTTAAAGGTGACTAAACCTGTTCGAGCTCCAGTAAATGCCATTTATAAAGTAAAAACAGTAGATTCTCTTTAAAGTTCTTAGCTAAGTGAGTTGGGCCTCTCTTCTTATTTAGTAATGTTTTAGTATTCTCATAGACTAATCAAACGGTTTAATGTTATTACGTGTGATGAAGTAAAAAAACGAGGCCAATATAAGGATTTATTTTAGCGCAACTAGGTTTTAAATTAAGGTATAATAAAATAATTCTAATGTATATCAACGGCCTCTATTAAAGATACATATGTACTATATGCTCTAGTCTATTGCATATGTATAGTAACAATAATAACTTAAAGAAACTAATATCAAAATAATATAAATTTTCGTTACACATACAGCAACTGTTTGTATAAGCTACTCCATCACCTTTAAAATTAAAAAAAAATATTGTTAGTATTTTAGGGTCACTTGTTTTCTTTCGTTTTATGGATTCCCTAATTTTGATTTTTTTTTTTTTTGCAGTCGTATATGCTCTACTACTACTTTTAAAGCACTGATTAGAAGCAAACTACTTTTCTTTTTGTTTCAAAACTTTTAATGACAAATCTTTTATTATAAAAAAAACTATTTTAATAATATCTTAGTTTTAAAAACAGAAAAATTTCTTTGGTACGTAAGCAAAATTGTCTAAGATCTAGATTTACTCGAGCACAATCCCATTTTCTTTAGTTAAGTCCCTAAAAAAGAATAAATAATAGGTGTTGCGATATTTAAAATAGTTCAGACTACTTCACCCATTTTTAAAACCCGTAGCACAAACTTTAATACATATAGCATTGCGTACATGAATATATGTTCACACAATTAAGAGAGCAAGCCTTATAAATAAAAAGATACATAAACGCGCAACCAATAAAATTGTAGAACAGAAGTAAATATATGTGACAGACAACGATAATAAAAATATTAGCTATATTACAGTTATATATAAATGTGTAGGTATATTTACATTTTAATAAAAGTTATATTACAGTTATATATAAAGGTATAGATATATTTACATTTTAATAAAACTATATTAGTAGTAATAACAGTAAAAATAATTATGGTAAATAATGTAAACAAAGTAGTCGTATTATTTGGATAATAAGTAATGAGTATTAAAATATTATATTATAAGTAATATAGGTAATGAGAAAATATAGTAAAAGTCATATATTGTAGAGTTAATAAAAAAAAGTACTAAATACGACATTTAAAATAATATCAAGATTACAACAGAAATAGAGTAAAAATTAAAAATATTAAACAATGAAAAAAAATAATGCTAACAGTAATAATAACGACAGCAATTATAATAAAACTATAAAATATAATTATAGCTATATTAATATTCTCAATAAAAGTAATAGTAACAGTTAAAATAGTTATATTCATAAATAATAGTAATTGTAATAAAAGTTTACTAGATTTTTATGCCAATAATTAAGTCAAGTTTTCGTAACATTTAAATCTACCTTAAAAAATTTTTATTTATGTAAATTTAAGGTAGATTAAGAATTATTCGTAAAATATAGAATATATGTCAGTTACTATAAATGGTTTATTATACTTTTAAATATATTAATATGTTGACTGAAAGCATATAGAGAAGTAAAAAGTCCACACTCGGGAATGCCGACCGGATCCCCCGCTTTGCGGGATTGAAATTAAGTTGAAATCTTCTACTAATCAGTTTTTTGCAGAAATCCTCACAAAAAACAATTTAAGATTTTTTCATTCGTGATCTTAAATGTTCTTAAGGTTCATAACACCAAGTTCTGTCCAGTAGCGTTTGTCACGTGTTTTTAATAACAGACTGTAATACTAAATAATACTTTTGTTAATTTTCGGTTTAAAATTAAACTTGTAACTCATATTTAGATGCTTTGTTTCTTTTTTTTTATTACGATGAGTTAAAAAAAAAAAGTATCTACTTTAAATAAGGTTTCGGACCCGGTATCCCCCTGGAATTTTTTTTTTAACAAGTACCGACAAAAATCTTTCTGCAAAGTGCAAAAAATGTTCCGGAGTCATAAAATTAAGTGCTACTTCGACCAAAGGATTACATACTTTTTGAAACCATTTTATAAATCGGTATCAAAAATTATAAAGGAATTAACATTGTCCAGTAGTATTGAAAAGGGCATGAACCTTGAAATAAATCCGGATGACGATTTTGATGAGCCGAAATCGCCCGTTCAACGAAAAAAAAGGAAATTGGAGGATTATTTTCCATCTTATAAAAACGAAAGCTCTAGGATGTTGATATCGCGAATAGTAGCTTTAGCTGATTTTCCAATTCAATCTTTATTACTTCGACGGATTTAAGAAAGTTATACGTTAGGTCGATGCGAACTTTAGCGGATTCAGCCCATACTGTTAGAACTATCGTAATGAAATATGAAAATTCCGTTAAAAATGGAATGATTAAGGAAATTCTTGCATTGCATATTACAAGTAATTTTACCCCTTTTTTATTAAACTGTATTTATAACATCTTTTTTATCGTAGATTTTCATTAACGTTAGAAGAATGGACCTTTTTAAGAAACCGACGCTACTTAAATGTAAACGTTCATTTCTGTATCAAAAGTTCAAATCATATTTACGACTTGGGCTCCCTTGGATGGTAGGAAAAATGCCTGCCGAGAATACTATCGAAATTTAGAAAATAGATTAAAGTCATTTAATTTGTCCTTCGAAAAAGATATTGTAGCCATTTGTATTGATGGTGCTAATGTAATGATAAGAATGGGGAAATGCAGAGCAAGATTTCGGGGAGTTAAAAAATTTTAAAGGCATTTAAAATTTTACTTTGCCTAAATAAATGATTTTGCGTCAACTTGTAGAACGGCAGCTACGTTATCTTCCAGTTCTTCAGTTAGCAGTCTTAGATTTTCTTTACCACTGAAGTGAAAATGTATACTAGGCTGGTAAGTAATAGTGTCTAGCGCTATATGGCAAGGATGATGTATAGTAATGGTTACTGTTATAAATAGTGTTAGTGCCTAGGATAAATACTATAGGTCGGCGCGGATCATATATTAGTTCAGTTATTTAGCCTAACTAATCTTTTCACCGCACCAATGACCCAGGAAAAGACAGTAGTATTATTCTCGTCACTCATTGCATTCCACTTGCAACCGCGAGTTTTCAGACGCACTCAGTAGCTAAAAAGAGCAGTAATGAATACAGTTTAGCTAATTTCACCAACGATTTCATTAAAGGCTACATTAAATTTGTCTTATTATCTCCCAGAAGAGACAAGTTTTATAGCAACACTGATATACAACGCGTAAGCTTTTACTTCAGTAAGGTTACTTTTATTTGTTTCAATGCAATGGAGAATCATCCGACAAAACAAATATTATTCTCACACGTAGTTAACTTTAGCCCGAAATTATGAGTTAACCTTTTGAATACAGGGAAGGCGGCACCTGCCTCTAGATTCGGGCCGCTGACGCCTTTTTACCAATAATAAGAGCAGCTGTTTCTAGCTGACACTATCAGGTCATATTGCAGACGCCTCATGTAACTCTCCGAAATAACACCAAACTCTCAACTCAGAGATTTGATCAGGAAGGTACCATAATCACGGTTTTTGGGTCGTTGGTTACTTTTGAACTTATTGAGCAACATCAGTCCAAAAACTCTAGTAAACCTAGTCAACAGTCGAGGGTGACATGACCCGCTCGGAGATGAGTCTACCTTAGAATGTTATTCCCTTCTCGGATGGAACTCACTCGTCAACCATCGATATTTCTACCTACTGGAAGCCACATGGATAAGAGCGCCAGCAGATGCGCATTGCACGTAGGACCGACGTTTTTATACCGCTTTACTCTTGCAAAGCGGCGGAAAGCGACCGTTACTTTAGGAGAGGATGTATTCAATTAGACGAAAGTAGCTATATAATGCTAACAGTCTGAGCCACAAATCAGTGACCAGTCCTTCCATTACGAGGCCGACCTGTACAGCTGAAATCCCTAACTGCGTAATTTTAAATCATGACCTTTGAACAGCTTAGATCGTTGTGACAAAGCGCAATGGAAGAGATCCGCTCATGCCCCTTCAAAGGGGGGCGAGGCTCAGGAACCCACGCCCGAGCCT